TGTCAATACTAAGAGCTGCTAGATTGTGCTGCTGTGATGGAATATGTAAGGAGAATAAGAACATACCATGTGGTCCAGCTGGAGTCTCCTCTGCCTCCTGATCCCTGCCTCTGTCCCTCTTTCTGACACTTCATCTGTATTCCTCACATGTCTTCTTCTTCACTAATGTCTTCATCTCCTCCTCTTCCTCCTGCTCTGACCCTCCTGGTCTCTTCAGTGAACTCTCTTCTTCTTTCTGTTCATCCTGATCACTTCTCAGATATGTTCATTTCAAACCTTTATTGTTGTCTGTCTTTGTGTTGTTGTTGAATCACTCCAGCTACTCTGGCCTGCAAGAGTCTACTTGTGAAAAGCACTGGTACAAATGCTTGTATAACTTTACACGTTAGGGCCATGTAGCTAATAAGTAGCATATCATAAATATAACATCAGAAAGTATTTATCAAACGCACACAGGCAGCTGTGTTCAGACCCAGTTTGAAGGTAAAGGATGTATCCTGGTTTCATTGATCTGGCCCAGGGCTGGACTGGGACAGCAAATCGGCCCTGGCATTTAGACCCAGACCGGCCCAAATCCATAAAACAAACGAATAGTAGCGGTTCCTGACAAGAAGAATAACTCAGTATAATTTAAAAAAACGCTATTATCCTTTTTACGTACCAGGGGCAAACAAAACTAATACATACCACAAGTATGTGTAACTATCAATCATTAGAAATTAGACCTTCAAACCCTCTCACAAAGCGAACAGTGACCGAGCACTAATAGGGGGGTCTGGTGGGGTATGCCCCCCCCAGAAGATTTTTTTTTTAAATAACCCCTTAAATTATGACTTCTAGTGAATTTAGGGGGGGGGGGGGACCCTATAGTGCCCTGCCTCCCCTTTCTATGACAACACAATAGAGATAGGACCAGATGAGTCTACAGGATGAGTCGACGGCATCTTTTTTATATACATTGACGCTTTCATTTAATTTTTCCATCCTTTTTTTAATCGCTGTAATTGTATTGCCTTTTTCATCTGTACACACGACACCTATTGCACGTCTGTCCGTCCTGGGAGAGGGATCCCTCTTCTGTTGCTCTCACAGAGGTTTCTTCCTACTTTCCACTGTTAATTGTGGGGTCTGTTTTGGGGAGTTTTTCCTTGAGCGCTGCAAGGGTCTAAGGACAGAGGATGTCGTACCTGTACACACTGTGAAGCCCTCTGAGACAAATTGTAATTTGTGATATTGGGCTATATAAATAAAATGTGATTGATTGACGCACGCAAGGGGCTATAGTGCAAGTCTTAGGCGGCTGGTTTCTCAGAACCTCACAGAGCACACAGAACTGAAGGAACACAGGCTTAACCAAAAATACTATCCACTGTCTTTATTTTTTTTCCTGAGAATAGGTTTGAAAGAGACAGATTTAAATGTACAAAGAGAGTTGAAGCAACATTTGACAGAAATCCCACATAAATTACAAAAGTACACAACTAGCAAGATATATATACTGTATATATATACTGTACACACAAAGTAACTTATATACTAGACTGAAATAACTCAAATGAATGCTTGTTGTGGAGAGGGGCACTATGTCCAGCGTCCATTCCTCGGTGTGTGTGTGTGTGTGTGTGTGTGTGTGTGTGTGTGTGTGTGTGTGTGTGTGTGTGTGTGTGTGTGTGTGTGTGTGTGTGTGTGTGTGTGTGTGTGTGTGTGTTTGCATGTGTGAGTGTAGTTGGGGGGGTTTGGGAGAGTCAAAAAGGATGCAGGTGACCTCTTTGGTCCCTGATAGAGGTCCATACAAATAGGCATTGACATAACAATACCACACAGTTAATGGTCAAAACTACATGTGTGCCTCAATTTTTTTTATCTATTTCTATATTATTCATTCTATATATTGTCAATCAAAACTACCACAAAAAGCTGACTATAAACATTTTTTTCAGGTCCCAAAAGACCACTTATACCTTATAACCACATAAGTAAATAAACTAAACAAAACAAGCTGCCATCTGACAGTAATTGTTCATGAATGGTGGTTAACAAAATAATGACATTCTTTCAATGAGACAACGTATCAGAGTCCCATTAAGCTATATTTTAACTTGCCAGGGAAAACCTAAAAAAAGCCAGCTTACTAGCTTGTAGGCTAACGAATGTTTCTCTTATAATATTTGTCTTATTAGTGCTTCATCAAGGGGATATTAATGGGTTCCAGAACTACAGAGTATCATAACCTTAATAATAATCTTTTCCTAATTTTCTTAGCTTCTGCTTACCGCGAGTTCTCCTCCCTCTCCTCACTCGCGCTGATCTCTCTCCCTCTCATCATCTTCCTCACCACCAATATCGGCCACGGGTGCTGAAGATGGACCTGCACCTGTACTAAACATGTCGGTTATTTTGACACAAGCGGCAGCATCAGCACGAATGGCCTGCTTTTTTCTTGCCTCGAAAAAAAAGGCAGTTTTGCTTCAACGGCCGGCTCACCTCCTGGGGGCGTGATTTAATGATGCACACCAAGCGGCCCAAAGGGGGAGGTGATTAAAGATTTGATTGGGCCGGCCCAGTGTCAATTACTTAAAACATTTAAACAGAGGGCCAATCTACCCGTCTTATGGGCCGTGACTTCAGAAAAAAAAAAAATGACGTGTCGGCCCAAAAGGCACGTCGGCCCACCGGGAAAATGCCCGGTATGCCAGATGGCCAGTCCAGCCCTGATCTGGCCTCATTGCTGTGATGTGTAGTTTACGTGGATTTTACCGTACCGCATAGTTTAGCAAAGTGATCGATCTCCCAGCTAGCGCTGTCTGTGTAGTATTTTGTAACGTAACGCCCCAAACAGCGACCGTCTGTTAAACGCTATCGATTCAAACAGCTGCGTTTTATTAATATTTAGTTTCAAGCTCTCGTCCTTAGTAAAAACAAAACTAGTGGAAGGGGAAATGCTCCCAGGGGAAGCTGATCCACCTTCAGGTGCTGGGACAGCTCGCTCCCTCTCTGCAGCTCTGTGAGCCGCGGTCTGTGTGAACGCCGCTCCGCAGTTTAATGCAGGGCCGTAGCTGCGTTTTTAACAGGCCTAAGTAAGATGATATTTAAAATGATTCACTTTTAATTAATGAACTGCTTGTTTCTTTGCTTGAGAAGCTTGTGGACAGAGTGTAGGTTTGTTTTAGTACAGTTTTAGGGAAACAAAAGTTAGGGGGGCAGCTGGGGGGGCAAGAAACACGAGTGTACGTTGCGCGTTTTGACGGTGCCGCTGACTCGCCTTCTGGAGGCCGAAGAAATTACCTTAAAGTGGACCTATCATGCTATATTTGAATAATATAGTGTAGGACCATACCTATATAAGGCATATTTATACTTTTTTTTTTCAAAATACCAAACAGATCATGCATTTTAGCCATGCCTCATTTTCCTCAATTTGACATTTTGTAGCTCTGTTTTTGAAAGGGCAGATTCAGTGAGAACAGCACCATCTACAGGCCTGGCATATGTACTACAGCGTCTCCAGCGCTTTCGAACGGCAATGGCTGTGGCTGTCTCCTCCTGATTGGTGGAGTTGGCCCAATAGCCGTAGCGCCACTGTCCTGACGTCAGGACAGTGTTCAAATCTGGATCAGTTTTGATCAGATCCGTTGCAGCCCCTTTTTTAGAGATTTGGGTATGGAGGAAAATAGAGAGGGTTGTGTTTTCTGACACTTGGTGAGTTCCCTGGAACACCGGGGACACATATTCATGTATAAAAGATGTACAAAAGTGCATTTTGCATGATAGGTCCCCTTTAAATCAGCGTTTCCCCCTCAAGAACTCCGGCCCGAGCTGCACGCTGAAGATGAAGATGGCTCTGAGGGTAAGATAAGATAAGAAGTACTTTATTGATCCCAATTTGGGAAATGTTTGGCACAAGGCATTGCACATTATTATATAACACAGATTCTACACTGATTCTGATTCTGTTTTAATCTCAGGTGCTGAGCTTGGAGAAAAACCCTCCCTCCTCCCCCTCCCCCTCTTCGGTGCAGGTCAACACACCGAAGACGGGGTGTTGACCCCCTCAAGCTGCCCCTCCTTACGAGAGATAGCAGCAATACCCAAGGCCGTAGAACTATGCCATGGGAAAAGAGACAGTGAGAGGAGAAAATGATGAACTGTGTCGAAGGTTGAATACCTAAGCAAATTATTCCCTAACAGTGAGCATTTGGTGAGGGATATTGTCAGATATCTGGAACAAACTCCCAGAAACCTGCAGGTCCGCTGCAACTCTGACTACTTTTAAATCCAGGCTGAAGACTTTGTAACTTTTATTTATGTTTTATTATCTTTGCTTTTTAATGTTTCTAATGTGTTTTATGCTCTTAATGTTTTTGATTTTTCCCAGGAATAGTTCCCGGAACTTTTATTTCCTGGAACTATCTAGTAAATCGTGTTCACACCGGAATAAGTCCCTGAGGGAGCCGCTGACGTCACTTCTTCTTCTTCTGCTTTGGGTTTACTGGCAGGCCGCAAACAACTTCACGGCGTATACTGCCACCCGAAGTCCCCGGCCGGAAGTCCCCGGAGTTGGGGACTGGCTTCAGTAGAAGCTGCTGGGACTCCCTGCAGCTTCTACTGAAGCCTTCCGAGTAAATCGCCAGAAGCGCAGACACCTCCTCATCACTCCACCGCTCCGCTTTCTTTTGTGTTGCCATAAGTTAGTCTCTCTCCGTTTGTGCGCTGGGCTAATGCTAATGCTAATAATGCTAATGCGAGCAAATAAAATGGCGGCTTCACAAAAACTTTTCAGAGTTTTACGGGGCGTGGTTTGCAATTCGCCCAGCCAATCAGAAATTGGAACCTTTTCCTCCCCAGGAAAGTACCTGCTCTCTAGCAGGCACTAAAAAGGGGTGAAAAGGTTCTCAATTTTTTTTTCAGAACTATTCCTGGGAAAAGTACTCCGGTGTGAAAGCGCCTTGTGCTTTTAAACGTAGTATTTTAGCAGCTGATGATTGGTAGTGTTTCCTCTCCTCCTCAGCTATGAGTTCAGTGTGTCTCTCGTGGAGCTCCACAGACGCACTCTGGACGTCGCGGTGAAGAACGGAGGAGGACTGCTCTCCAAACACAAAGGCCTTCTGGGAAAGGTACGCTCTCTCACTACAGATTCTACACGCTTCATTAAATACAGAAATGTCTTGAAATCAATCCAATTATCTATAAAGCAGTCTTTGTTTGAGGATTATGGATTTAAATCTTGAGTTTTGACAATATTCCAGTTTGTTCATCTACCTGAAATAGTGTTACAAGAGTATCTTCAAGGATGGTAGATTATTCTGCTCATGTCATATTTCAACTGTTTGCAGTCTTTTAAACACTTGATTTAGCATTTTTAAATAAGCTCTGTTGTCTTTTCTCCTCAGGTTCTGGTGGATTTGACGTACGAGGACACGTCTAAGGGTTGGACACAATGGTGAGTGATTGATATCTCACTTATTATTTATATAACTCTGATCATACAAATATGAAGACCAACAAACAGCTCAGTTTCATGTATGTTGTTAAGAAATCTTTGAATAAAAATAAAAGCATGTATCTGTCAGATTTCCAAAATAAAAGCATGGATCTGTCAGATTTTCTAAATAAAAGCATGTATCTGTCAGACTTCCAAAATAAAAGCATGTATCTGTCAGATTTCCAAAATAAAAGCATGTATCTGTCAGATTTCCAGATTTTCAAAATAAAAGCATGTATCTGTCAGACTTCCAAAATAAAAGCATGTATCTGTCAGATTTCCAAAATAAAAGCATGTATCTGTCAGATTTCCAAAATAAAAGCATGGATCTGTCAGATTTCCAAAATAAAAGCATGTATCTGTCAGATTTCCAAAATAAAAGCGTGGATCTGTCCGATTTTCAAAATAAAAGCTTCTCTTTCTCCTCCTGCAGGTATGAGCTGAGTGAAGATGGTCTGACGAAACCTCAACAACTATAGAGCGAAACAACCATCACAATCACCATCATCATCATCACAATCATCATCACCACAACCATCATCATCATCATCACCACAATGATACAGTACATCTATTATTTTTACTAAGTGCACAAAGTAAAGAAGAAGCAGCTTTGATCCATTTAACCACATCAGTCGCAAGGCAGACCTCCCCTTTAAGAAGAGCCAGGCTTTAAAGGGAGTATTCCACATGTAGAATATTCAATATATCACCAATACTACCATGTACTGCTGTGGAACATATATTCCATATTTATAGGAGAATATATATATCAGCTGTAGAGGAAGACAATCTATTTTTTTTGCGGTAACATATGTAAAAGTTTGTAAATATATAAACGATGACGCTCGACTAAAGAGGGCGTCGTGTTTGAGAGAGAATCAGGCCAAATGATGGTTAGTCGTTTTCTTTGATTCATTCGTTTTTACGAATGAAAAACACTCTAGACGCCACCAAAGAGACGAGAAGTCATTTTTTGTATTCTCTTCCTTCGTTTGCTTTCCTCTGGTTTAATTCCACTTTGATAACATGTGTTTAAAACATCTTAAAGATAAGTATATAAGTACACACAGGGGCGCCGCTTGTTGTGTGTTAAATCCACAGTTGTTGTATCCGGTAATACACCTGTTGTTATTCTAGAATAAGGCCATTGTTATTGAATATTAACAATGAATATTTTGTTTGTTTTTTTATCTATCTGGGATCATCAGTCGGTTTTAGCGAGTAGTTCTTATCTCAAATTAAGAGTATTTATAATAAAGAATTGCCAAATTAAAGAGTCATGTACTGCAGTTATATAAATAACATATTTATGGAGTAGTGTTCCCTTCCTTTATGAGAAAATAACTCTTTTGTCTGTTAAATATGAAAGTTAGAAGTTGAAAACAGGCAGATTTATCCGTATTTCCCCAAATATTAGTATTGCAATTATCACGCATATTTTCTTCATTTATCTAAAGCCACTATGTATAAAAACACATTTTATACACATTTATAGTATTGCCATGTTCCCCGATTAATGTGTATCATAAAGAAAACATCACTTCCTGTCGGTTTTTCACAATAAGATATCTCCAGTTTTTTTGTCTTTTATTTTGAAAATACAGGAATAAACCAGTGAATAAAGACAGTGCTTGTGATGTGATTAATGTGTAGCTATCCTAAAGAAAACATCACTTCCTGTCGGTTTTTCACAATAAAAGATATCCATTTTTTTGTTTATTTGAATATCTTTTATTTTGAAAATACAGGAATAAACCAGTGAATAAAGACAGTGTTTGTGATGTTTAAATCACAGAAGAAATCTAATAAAAGTGGCTTTAAAAACTGATACAATTGGGAAAAAATGACATTAACAAAATGTACACATTAACAGTTTACACTTTAAATTTACACCAAAAATACTCCTAGTACAAATATATGTTTGCACCACTTTTCACATTAATAAAAACACTTCTGATTGCTTTTTTTTTTTTTTTAAGCTTTTTAATACACAAAAAAGTACATTTAAAAAATTCACATTGGTACCCAAACTAAGAGAAATTATCTGCAACACAAAAAAATGTCCCCTTTTTGTAACATTGTCAAAAATATGCGAAAAATAAGCTTTATTTACTGGCCAATAAATATGGACAAATAATGGCTTTAAAAATAAAGAAAGTTGGAGTAAGATGACGACAAAATCTTCTGAAAAATATCAAATAATTACAAATAAATCCACAAATAACTACTTTTAAAATTGAAAAAATTGGAATTAATTGATATCTCATACAATTAGAAATAAGGTCTAAAAAAATTTGCTTTTTTTTTTTTTTTTTTCTTTAGTTTGTCACCATTTCAGTCTGGGTTTATATCGTCATGAGTTCCGCTATAATCAAGTTTTCCACATGTTGTTTATGAATGAACATGAGTCTTAACGTGTCAATAATACGTGTCATTTTTAGGTCTTGAAATTGTTGAAATTCACATTTACTTATTTTATTTGGTGTACATATATTTGTTACCGCGCATATCATGTTTAAAAACTGCATTGTTTTCACAGCACTTGCTCAAAAGGGATTTATATCAAACTACAACATAAATGTTAGTATTTAAAACAGTAAATAATATCGCTTTCTTTCAAATACACTCTCTTGCCATCAAGAAAGTATTTTACGCACATGTATGAACGCTCTGTTATGTATGTAATGTTTTATTACGTGTATTTTGCAGCTGTCACCCATTTCTCTTCCTTGTTCCTGTTTTATTTTGAAAGGATCAAACTGTTTTCTCTTTTGGATGCGAGAGCTTCTCTGAAAGGCGGTTTTGTTGTTCCCCGTCTTCTTAATTTATCTTTTGCCTTAAGAGATATTTACGTGTATAAAAAAATAAGAAGATGCTTCAACGGTTTTTCCTCATGTGTCACAATGTCTCCTAAATGTCTTTTAAAAACAAATAAAGAGCTTTAGCTGGCTATAGCAGCATGGAGCTGTACAGCACTGTGTTTCTCATAATTTCTGTATTTATCATTGCACTGCTATTGGCTAGCGCTCCAACACATTGTAGGACAAAAGTACCATCAGGTATATCACTCGATATGCAGAATGGATCGTTTCAAAGTATTTTATTATTATGTATTTATTTTTCGAAGGATAGCCCGTTGAGATGTAGCATCTCATTCTCAAGAGTGTCCTAAAACATATATATACCAATTATAAAATACATACAGACATTTGCATAACATTACATATACTACAGTACATATACACAAATACAGACACATGATGGTTATTATATTATCCAGTTATTTATACATGTCAGAACATTTAGTCTTTGGTCAAGTTGGACAACATTTGCATACTGTGTGGATTAGTAGTAAAGTATTTCCTTATACCCTATCATCATGTCATGTGTTTATGCACAAAGTAAAATCAATGTACTGGAGGAACAATAGTACATATCTGTTTCTGAAATGTAGTGGACTGTAAGTATCAAGAAGCATTAAACGGAAATACTCAAGTAAAGTATAACTATATTGTAAACTACCGAGCTACAATACTTGAGTAAATGTACTTTCCAACTCTGCTTATCACACAACAGCCTGACTGGAAAGATAAGATACAACGGTATACTTGCAGAAATCTCTCATTAAGTCAGCGAGAGAGCCTCAAAGCACCTTGTGTTTTCACAGTTTGATCAGCCTGAAAACTCACATTTACTGAAGGAAGCAGTGAGAGTGGACTTTGGAGCGGACTGTCTCTTTAAAAACGCTCCCCCTTATGAATTGCGTCATACTTCCTGATGGGTGTAACCAGTGCATGAGCTGACAGGCCCTATTCACTGCACACTCACATGATCAGATCACACTCACACTAGTTTCAGGTTTCAGGAAGTGAAACTCAGACACTCGCAGTCACTGAGAGGTGAAATGGCGCAGAAAGGAGTTCAGCTGGACCGGGAAACTTTCTCTTGTTCGATCTGTCTGGATCTACTGAAGGATCCGGTGACGACTTCCTGTGGACACAGTTACTGCATGAAGTGTATTCAAACCCACTGGGATAAAGAGGATGAGAAGGAAGTCTACAGCTGCCCTCAGTGTAGAAAGATCTTCAAACCGAGGCCTGTCCTGCTGAAAAGCACCATATTAGCAGATTTAGTGGAGGAGCTGAAGAAGACTGGACTCCAAGCTGCTCCTGCTGATCACTGCTATGCTGGAGCTGAAGATGTGGCCTGTGATTTCTGCACTGGGAGGAAACTGAGAGCCTGTAAGTCCTGTCTGCAGTGTTTGGCCTCTTATTGTGAGAAACACCTCCAGCCTCATTATGACGCAGCTACGTTTAAAAAACACAAGCTGGTGGAGCCCTCCAAGAAGCTCCAGGAGAACATCTGCTCTCGTCACGACGAGGTGATGAAGATGTTCTGCCGCACTGATCAGGAGTGTATCTGTTATCTCTGTTCTGTGGACGAACACAAAGGCCACGACACAGTGTCAGCTGCAGCAGAAAGGACTGAGAGGCAGAGAGAGCTGGAGGGGAGTCGACTAAACATCCAGCAGAGAATCCAGGACAGAGAGAAGGAGGTGAAGCTGCTTCAGCAGGAGGTGGAGGCCGTCAATGGCTCTGCTGATAAAGCAGTGGAGGACAGTGAGAAGATGTTCACTGAGCTGATCCGTCTCATGGAGAAAAGAAGCTCTGATGTGAAGCAGCAGGTCAGATCCCAGCAGAAGAGTGAAGTGAGTCGAGTCAAAGAGCTTCAGGAGAAGCTGGAGCAGGAGATGGCTGAGCTGAAGAGGAGAGACGCTGAGCTGAAGCTGCTGTCTCACACAGAGGATCACAACCAGTTTCTGCACAGCTACCCCTCACTGTCAGCCCTCAGTGAACCTACACACTCATCCAGCATCAACATCCGTCCTCTGAGCTACTTTGAGGACGTGACGGCGGCCCTGTCAGCAGTCAGAGACAAACTACAGGACGTCCTGAGAGAGGAATGGACAAACGTCTCACCGACTGAAGTGGATGTTTTACTGTCAGCAGCAGAGCCCACCACCAGAGCTGGGTTCTTACAATATTCACAGGAGATCACACTGGATCCAAACACAGCATACACAGAGCTGTTATTATCTGAGGCGAGCAGAAAAGCAGCATTCATGGGACAATATGAGTCTTATTCTAGTCACCCAGACAGATTCACTGTATATTATCAGGTCCTGAGTAGAGAGAGTCTGACTGGTCGTTGTTACTGGGAGGTGGAGTGGAGAGGGGGAAGAGTTCATGTAGCAGTCGCATACAAGAATATCAGCAGAGCAGGGGATGGGTATGAATGTTTCTTTGGATACAATGACAAATCCTGGGCGTTAATTTGTGAGCAAAACAGTTATTCATTTTTTTACAACAGTATCAGCACTCCCGTCTCAGGTCCTCAGTCCTCCAGAGTAGGAGTGTACCTGGATCACAGAGCAGGTATTCTGTCCTTCTACAGCGTCTCTGAAACCATGACTCTCCTCCACAGAGTCCAGACCACATTCACTCAGCCGCTACATGCTGGAGTTTATCTTTATGGTGATGGAACCACAGCTGAGTTGTGTAAACTGAAATAGCCTGAAGTCATTTGAGGAACTCTTCTACTTCTTAAACTCATTGTGTGTCCATCATTGTTGCTGAGAGCTGATTGTTCATGTCTTCACTGCACAGAGATCAGCTGTCAATCAAACATTATGGGATGTGCTTTAACATCTTCTCATGAGTTGTTCTGTAGATGTTGGAGTTTCTTTAG